AAAGAACGCATTGAATTGTAGTATATCTTTATCTACTTTAAAACAGCGATGTTCAGATGGGGTACTATGTCATACTGGAGGAGTTCAAAGCGTTTAAAGTTCTCTCTTGATTGCTTGTTTGGGAGGAAATAAAACAATAAATTTACAAAAAATTAAAAACGCTTTTTAGGTAAATTTAAAAAATACTCTAATTTTCCATGGACAGAGTAATACGAAAAATATACGAGAAAATGATAATGAAATTCCAAGAACTTCATTTCTTATTGAATTCAGTCTTTTACTTTATTCGTCCCATGTGAAATCGATAATGGCCATGAGATGCCATCAAGCTTGAGTTTAGTTCTGTTGTTTCTATTCAAGAAAAGGCTCAATGTATACTTTCGTTTGCATTAAATATATACTTTTGTCCTGTTTTATACCTATGTAAAACGAAAAGGTTGTAATATATTGGTATATTCGACAAATTGTTTTGCTCAAAACTTAAAGTAATTGCACTTTGCTGAGAACCGGGAAAAGAAAAACTGTGAGATTTTGAAAGGGGAAGAAGAGAGAAAGCGATTTAATTTAAAGCCATAAATTAAGTAATATTACTGTTTACAAGTGATATGGATTAACTTAACGATGGATCCCCGTTTGATGACACTAACTACTCACATAAACTTAAGAAATTGATAAAATCTTAATTATTGAACATGTCAGGATAATCACAAGTCATTGCATTTGTATAATAAAAATTATTACGACCCAAAATAAATATTTCAATATTTATTTTGCGCCGTAATAATTTTAATTCGTTGATCAATGGATGAAAATTTCTGAAATTACCTTTTGTCAAATATAAAAATATCTGCCATAAAATTCTGATGCATAAAATAATAGGCCACTTTGTGAAGCTGGCACAAGTGGCCAGTTTGGATTTAATTTCTCCTTGTCAGAGAAAAGGTTTGTTCATCACGGCCTATTAGGTATGCGAAGATTTACACTAATTGTTTCAGTCCTGTCTCTCTTTTTCTAGTTGATGGCAACATAGAGAAGCATACGAGAAATTAGAGGGTAGTTTTAGTAGATTTTTGAGATTAGCTTATGATACTATCTGCTGTTTCGGAAAGCCGTAGCCTAAAGGGGGATTTGAGGAAATCCACTGCAGGGCTAGTTAAATCCCTTGAAGTAATTTAGATACAAAGCAAATCCTTCCTGAATTCCCGTGCTTGACGTCAGCAGTATCAAACAGGGAAGAAGCGGGTCGCATGTGGCCCCAGAAGCAATTTTATGCGGGCCACGCAAACATTTCAATTATATATTTGTTGCAAGTATGTCGAGATTTTAGTTTTTTGAAACTCGAGCTTACATTTTTCAATTCCATTAAAAACCAACATGAATGAAGATCCAGAAAATCTATAAATGTAGTCATTAATTTACAGTGTGATATAAAACTTATTAGGAGATCTGAAAATATAGATTTAATTAACTTTATTGGCTTTGTCAAAAATTAAATAAACTCATTTACGAATTTTTGCACTAGGAATAATCCTTTTGTTTGGAAATACATTTCTGTGTTAACGTCTTTTTCTTCGAAGTTAAAAATTGTCCGTGATGAAAATGATTTCCGATAATTTCTATCAAAGGTAGCAAAATTTAAAACAGCGTCAAGTGTTAAGCTATAGTAAGAAATAAAGAAGTCGATCATTTTTTACTTACAAACATATGTATTTTTACTTATTCATCAAAATTTGACGAAATGTTTAATAAATAAGAGAAAGAGCTTAGGTTGTTTCTTTGAAAACCTAAAAAGTTTCCCTAATTTGTTTATTTTTAGTTTAAATTAAAGTAAATTATTTAATGATTAGTTAAACATGTTAGAATTATTTGAAGGAAATGTAAGTCTAAGAATTTAATATTTAGCTGTCGATATACTTGAATTCCAAAGTTTTACACTTTGGAATAAAAATACACACAATAAAAATGTCTTGCAGGTACCAAACTTATATATATCTGATTTTTCATTATGATATTATTACCGTTATTTATGATATGTTTTGATAAGTAAAAAAAAATGAAGCCCGTCCGTTGTTTTTAGGTTATGCATGCAGTTTGAGTCTGAGACCACAAATACGTTACAATACATCTCTTAACAGATTATGGTCTAATAACAGACTTACTGTTAGAGAAATATATCTCTTATTTCTAGACAAGGGAGAAGAAAGGTTTGTTCCGTAAGACTTTTGGTAACAGTACTTAAATTTCAAAAGAAAGAATATTTTACAATGTTTGCAGCTATGATGTGGTGTGACTGCACAATTCAATACCTTGTCATTCTGGGAGACACTTCCTACAGTATTCTCCAAACTTTAGTAAAGGAAGTTTAACATGGTGCGATGAAACACTGAAATATTTTGTTATCATTTTAAAAATACAGTAATGAATTGCTTGCTGTTATGCAGATCGTAAAATAAAAATCTCATTTGTCCATTTGCCAAGACGTCTTTTCGAAGAACGAGAGAGGTTAAGCTCGAAATTAACCTTGGAAAATCTTTAATGCAATGGATATTATTTTATGCATAGTCTGGTACATACGCCATCACTAGAATGTATTCGAAAAAAAGAAATATATTGCATCATAATTTAAATTTATTCAAAATACAAAATTCATTAGATCTTCATTAAAATTTATGCGGAATAAGAAATGCACATGAATAACTCACATCAGAATCATATGCGGCGTAACACATACTCCCGCAAAGAATGCGATATCGGTTCTATGTGTATATATAAACCTCTAAACATCGTGATCTGTTCAAAAGATCAGGTTTAAAAGTTGCATGGGTCTACACTTTTTGAAGGCTTTCAAGTTGGAGAGAGCGGTGGAAATGATACTTGGAACATAAGTGATGCTCTGTAGAAGAAACAAATTCCACAAAAGATTGTACTCTAAGATACGTGCAATCGGTCTTCAGTTTTAAGATTCATTTTAACTAACACGTTATATTTTATATTAAAATTTTACTTGCACGTTATTGGTTAGATTATTCTATCGAAATACGGACATGAAAATTTAGAGAAGACTGAAAACCTCAGTCCATCGTGCCGACAGCCCTTCGTATTTCTTTAACACTATTTGCATTAATTGCTGAGTTTTTCTGTGATTGAAAATTAAGTTACTAGTAGTATACACAGGCAGCTTGTTAGGCTTTAAGTTTGTATTTTCATTAATAAACATTTTGTCTGTTAAGTTTCAAGTAGCGGAAATTAATTTTTTCAGTTGTTTTAGTTCTGTATCTTCAAGTAGAAGTTCAAATAAATTCATGAATTGCTTTATATTGTTGTATTTATCTAGGGGTTTCGTACTGAAAGGCAGAGACAAGGCAATACTTCGTCTGGTAGTCATAGAAGGTTGGACAAGTGTTTAAGGCAAATTAGGATGGAACAAACGGATCGTACTGAACAAGAATGTACTGTACTCAGGACCGTTTTAAAGAGTCTGTAGAGTCATTAGGTTATTTGAAGCAGAAGACAAGAAAAGAGAAGTTTGGAGGTGCCCAGAAACACTGATCTAAAATACTGAATATTTAATAGGATATTTTTCCTAGAACTGTTACAACCCTCTAGGATACAATTTATACATTACTTTCCCTTTTCTTTCTCCTTTTTTTGACACAAATTATATTGAGGCACGTAACATAGCGGCATTGTTCTGATCTTGGATGTAGTCCTAATCATCATCCAGCTATAAATTGCTTGTCCGAATAAGTGACAAAGGTTAGTGATAAGAAGCCGCAGACAAAGAGGCATCTAAGAGAAATATTAATATTGCGGTGATACACTGTTAATTAAAAGTTGCTTTTAAAGTCCGCTTAATACCTTCTTCAAAGAAAAGAATAGTTAATCAATTTTTACAAAGCTACACGATTAATTTAATATTTTACTCAAGAAATCTGCCCACGTAATAGAGAGATAAAAATTATTTCATCTAATTTTACTTTCTTAGAGCAACGGGCATAGAATTAACCAACACTGGTATTTCGTAAACCATGGAACACTGGTATTTCGTCCTGAGATCGAATACATAAAAGAAATCAGAAGTAAAGACTATAGCTCACCCATCGGCTTTCAAATATTAGCATTTTAGAGATAATTAATCGGATTCCTATATTAAGCATGCGATGAATTATTTCAAATTCTACGCAGAAATGAGTTCTCATACATTAGTAACCAGAGCAAGTGATGAATTAATGAGCCATGATTGCATTTTATGAAGGTATTAGAGCATTCTCAGCATGCCTTCGTGGTGTAATGGTCAGCACATTCGGCGCGTATTCGAGCGATCCGAGGTTTGAGTTGCGGAGAAGGCATTGCTCATTTTTCGTCTCCTGCTTCGAAATAACCTAATGTCTCTACAAAGTTTGAATTCAAAACACAATAAAAACATTTAAAAAGACGAGCATTTTGCGTTCCTGTTATTACAGGCCAGAATTCCTTCCACACATTGAACTGATCAAAACATTAATTAAACAGTATCTATGCAATTAAACAGTGTCTATGCAGAGTCTATGCAGAGTGTCATCTATATATTAAAATTCTCTACGCATTCCCACCTGGGATGAATTAGGATTCATAGTAACTCAGATTCTCCTACATATTAATAACAAATGAATAAAGCTCTAATTATTACATAAATATGATAAATTTTAAGGGCTAATCTAACGAATATCTAAATCTTTGTTAAATGTTTTGAATTAAATTACGCATAATAATACTATTATAAGCCAATAAGTTCTACATTACAATTGCGTGTCATACTAAATTATATTATTCAAACGTTCAATAACAAATTCACAAATAAATTAATGATAATAATAATAAAAATAAAATAAGATAAAATCTGTATATAGACTTTTCAAAGTTAATCATAAAGCACTTTAGTCTCGTATTTCAAATCGGTATATGAGCTGAACTGGTCTTCGAATTATCTAATCTTTAGTTTTAATACTATGAGCTCTTACCTGTCCTTCAGAATCTGAGAAAGCTTCTGTGATGCCATTTTCTAAATGTTTTGTGGAAAATGTTCATCGTTTATGAACACCAGGTCATTACGTTTGAATTTTTTAACTTCTTTCGAGTACTGCACTGTGAGTGCTGATTGTAGGTTCATAAGGTATTCACTCTGCCATCTTTTCCAGAACAAATTAAATAAGTTTTCTCTGTAATAAAAGTGTTTCGAAACATCCTTAGTTGAATAGACTGAATTGTTCCGTTTTACATAAGATAAACTCAAAATTCTTCTGCAAGTAAAAATTGCGAAGGTGTTAAGAGAAACGGTTATTATGATTTTAAATAGATATACGTTAAGATCTCGAATTTAAGACTCCTTCAATTTCGATTACAACTGTTTCTAATTCTTTCAAATTGATGTAGATCTTCCAGCTGCTTTTCTCTAACTTGTTTTTACTGATCCAACCATCTATTTCCGTTTGATTTGGTGGAATGAAAAATATTACTTTATGTCTGGATGATTTATCTGTCTCCATTTGCAGCTCATTTGAATGTTTTAGCATAATCCTTGCAGATGATAAAACAAGAACCCCTTCTACATACAAATCTCCTGAAAGTGAATATGAATTTTTTCTTGTCATTTTTTAAACTAATTCTAGTTGGATTCTCGCGTAACAGTACAGATAAATAAAAGCATGTTAAATTTATAGTCACTGTTTTCTGAAAGAGTGAACAAGGAAAGTCTGTCCCTTTTATTGCAAAAGGGGGGAAGGTTCTTCAGTTCTATAAGTTGACAATGGAGCTGTAAACTGTATTCCTGCACGAGTATTATAACGTTATGCCTCCTTTTAGAACAGACTGTATGTATTGTCTTCCTTATAACCCAAAATGCTTCTCAAAACTTGACTAGCGTATCAGAAATTTCTCCATGGTATACCTAATCATAGCATCTGTGCTTTGAAGGCATTGGATTGAATTTGATGCTTTTCATAAAACTTCCTCTTTAAGTTTTGTAATCTCCCGCAACATAATAATTCTTTTCTCATCTAAAGCTGGGATTAAATCTCGAATTTTTGATTCTTTGGGAATGTATTAACCTACTTTCAAATTTGATAATTCTTCCGGACAATTTTCTTTCTGCATTTTCTTAATCCAATAGATTTCTGCATCGGAAATTTCACTTATACCTAAATAAGATTGAATTCTGCCTTCCTTGTTTTTGCTTTTCGCATTATATATGAATCCCCTAATATAGGCTGTCATTCTGTACACTTTTTTAGTTGAACTATGAATACTCAAAACTTTCAAGTAATTTACCTATTTCTTATTTTCGTCAAACGTCACATTCACTGATGCTATAAACTTTAATCATCTTTACTTCATAGCCAAAGGATCAAATTTACCGTGAGACCAGTTTCATTCAGGCTGTTGTAACTAGTTTTGCCTTCTAAACCATTTTTCGTTGCTTATCAAATCTGCTTCTTTACGCCTTCATGATGTTATGTCTTCTGGATCATCTCGACTGCTGCAATGTCTCCAGTTCGCTGGATCGGATATTTCTCGAATTTCATTAATTTTATTCGCAAGGAAAGGTTTACCCTATTTGGCATTTCCAGGGATATAGCAGAACGCTATTGTGGAACTGGTCCACGAGAAAATATCGCCCTAGTATGAAAAATGGTGTGGGTTCTATGGCATTGAGTATTCTTACACCAGTCAGTAATGATGTCATTTCTAACAGTGACAAAATTAACTTCTCCACTTGTGTAACTCTTGATTTAGATGTTAAAAAGCTAAATTCAATATTGTCATGTAAAGAAAGCCTTTTCTATGTCAGCCACGAAGAAAATTTTATTTTTTCTAAAATTTAGATGTAGTTTCAAAATGTTTGGATATAAATTTAGTCCTTTTAAAAGATTATCATTCTTTTAAAGGGACTGCACTGTTTAGTCGTGCTGTTTAGCTCTTTGACCGAAGCATAGTTAACTAGTCTTGATTCTGTAGTTTCACTGTCTTTCTGTTCACAGGATGATGGGGGCATATTAAATGTTCTATTTTGAAATAATTCTGTTTCAGGATTTATTTCCTCTATACTACCTTCACCTAACTATTCATTTATAACCCTTTTAGACTCTTCATAAAGAGGTAAGTTAATCTTAAGTTTTTTTTTTAAACTGAGTAATTTTTGTTTTGCAGCATTAAAATCATAATCGAATTGTGGGTTCTGTTTAATCTAACTTGATATCTAACCTGATATCATTTATCTCTAAATTCTATTTCTGCTTCAGATTGTTTCATGATATCAGAGTCATCCAATGAATTATGTCCAAACTGAGATTCAACACCCAAGCTATCAATTTGTCCAAACCTTTTTAACTCTTTATTTATTTGTCAATGAGTACAATTATTATAACTCTCTTGTTTTCGTAGCCGTGTTAGAAGGCTGTAGGCACCGAAGCAATGGTTAAAGTCTTGTTTATCTTTTCGCAACCACCCGAATTCATTTCCCGTAAGTTTGAAGCGTCTATCCGAACTGAAGTAATTTTGATCTGTCAGCAAAGGAGTTCTGATGATTGGTAATGGCATTTTAATATTTCCTGTAATGATCTGTTCGGGGCGCAAATATATGCATTTGTAATTTTATCTGTGACTACCACTTTAGTTTAAGTTCTATTAACTTCTTAAGGTCATTACACTTTTGAAACTGAATTGCTGTAACCCTTAATAGTTTTGCCTCTGGATGGCGATTTCCAGCTATAGACAATTAAGTTCTTTATCATAGCAAGTTTTAACTTATTCGCTAATGATCTCACTATCAAGGAATGCATTTAAGCATTATCAAATAATAGCCTAATACTTTCAATTTGCAATGTGTTATAATTCTCACTGGGCATTTTTTGTAATAAAACTGAATTTGAGTCTTTTTCGTGTTTGCAATATGATACTGACAAAACTGTTATTTGGGATTTACTGTCATTCTCATTTTCATTAATAATTTCATTCGGTGAACTTTCTGTTTGGAAATTTTTTTGAAGCAAATGCTCTCATGATGATTATTAAAAATGCAATTTCCTTTAACTGCATTCAGAGAAATTTACCCTAACAATCGTCTTAGGTATAAAGATTTTTCAACGTCAGATTAACTTTCGTTTCCATGAATGGGATTTTTAAACTAGTTCCAAAAATCAAGCCACATGCACACATCACCGTAACAACTTGTGAAACTTAATTTCACTAGTTTTGATCCGTCACTAGCTTTGATTCACTAGTTTTGATTGCGAAATAGTATTAGCTCTGTTATCAAAAACACCTTCCGAATTACCAAAATACTAATAAATCTTTTAAATACCTAAAACTTAAGAGGTTATCACACATGGCTACAGTCCCTGCTATACGGGACTTTTCTGAGGAACGAGATTCTGGTATTAAACTGGAGGATTCCTAGAAAAAAGAGCCCCGCCTAAAGCGAAGTCCCGCTTACCTACGGAAACAATGTTGCGGCTACGCAGGATATTTTGAAACCTCACCGAAAATGTCTCTGCTGGACCTCAGTCCCGGGTAGAGACAACCAATCAGACGAAAGTTCTGCTTCTGAAGCCTCTCGTGATACCACTATGAGCGATAATCGATTAGTGTTTGGCGTTCAAGTCTTTGTAGTAAGTGAAAATGGTAACCTAGCTACGTGGGTTTCCTGGAATTGTGCGGATTCTGAGAATTGTCACTTTCGACATCAAGTCCCGCGTAGCCGAAACATAATGTGATTGGGACTTTAGGATTTCTGTTTCGTTAATTTTTTGGCTTATTCTTCGCTACCTAGTATTTCGGAATAAATTCTTACGTAATAAAAAGCTCTGCTTAATTTATTTAATTTTTAGCATTTTTGTCAAAAAATTGTTCATTTAATTTAGTTCATCAGTATTTTCTTTCTGTTCCTAACTGTCCGTCTTAAAGAACAGTTTTTTTTTGTTATAATTTCTGTCGTTCGACTTCGAAACATTGCATATTTTTTCCTTATCGATTCAAGCTGCATAGTCAAAAACTAATTCTCACTTATCCTCAAAATGAAAGCTTATTGCGCTTTACTTCAGGCTTCATGATATGGGCACCAAAACGATGAATTAATTCCAATTCTTCGTAGAAAAAGGTCCCCCTGTTAGTAATTCGCGCAAGTGATGAATACAAGAACCATGACTGAAATCCATGAGCTTGAATTCAAAACACAAGAACGTTTATTTAAAAGACGAGCATTTGGCGTTCCGGTCAACCAGAGTTTCTTTGACACACTGAATTGATCAAAACATTAATTAAACATTGTCTGCGCGTAGAGATATCTAATACATCAAAATTTTCTGCAGCATGTTAAGAGCACTAAAAAAGGAATTCATTAATTTACCAAAATATGCTATGATATTTTGGTAAACTAAATGAACTCCTTTTTTTTAGTGAATCTTTATAAAGTTAAATATGTTAAAAATAAATTATTTTAAATTTTATTAATTGAAATGACCAGATCAATAAACAATTAATGATTTCTTAAAGATGTCTCCAGTTAAACAGTTTAAAGATGATGGGCCCTTAAACTATTTTATTTAAAGCAACATCTGATTATGTTTCGCTATGAATAATACCAGAAATTAAAGATTTCTTATTTAAAAAACTGAATAAAAATATGGGCTATAAGCAGAACAGAATTTCTGGCACAAACAGCTAGAGTCTTTGCTGCATGAAATATTATAGCACACTAAAACCTGACAGAGTAAGTTAAAAAGTCTTCTTATATTTAAGAAATATAAAGAAAGACTATTGCGGTCGTTGCTGTGTGCAGGATAAGGCACTTGTAACTGTGTTAGAGTATAAATATTCACCCTTTCTTAGCATTTTGACATTTATACCGAGATGGATATCTTTAGAAACTGTTTTCTTATGTTAAATATTTGTATTTTCAGCGTATTAATTTTACATAATTTGAAAAAAAAACCCTAATAATCCAAAAGCATAAATTATAAAAACAGGTTTCAAATAAATTACAAAACCTTATTTTTTGAAGAG